CACCCAATTCCTTCTATCTGATTTCATGTTTGACCATACAAAACATTTGCTTACAATTTTTACAGTAGAAGGCTTACTTGGATATTAATGGTTGTGTAAATGTTAAAATATTTGTTTCCTCAATGCATGAGGTATATATGGTTGGGGATTAATTAAAGTGGTATTGGAATATAAGGTTTTGTTACTGAAAGGGACTAGAAATTGTTTCAATTTTGAGAAAGTGTTTGATAATAATTCAGTTAACGTGGTGTCAGATTTCTCTTCATCTGAAATTAAATCATGACTTAATACAGCATTAGTAATGGTTGTGCTATTTGTGTGTGATAGTGTGTCTATTACAGTATTTTGATGACCTTTAATGTGACAAATGTCTGTTGTCTTTTGAGAATTAAGGTCTAGAGATCAGATTTCTCTAGGTGTGTATTCATCTGCACTGCAGTTCATTGCATGAGCAAATGGCATGATCTGTAAGTATTACAAAATTCCTACCTTCAACTATATGTCTGAATTGTTTGCTTGACATATATAACTAACCCGTTCTCTGGAAAAGGTACTATACTTCGTTTGAGTTAATCTTACTGAAAGAAATGAAATAGGTTTCCTTTTTTAATCTATCTGTTGTTCAATTATTGCTCCTACTGCTGTATGTATATGGCAAGGAAAATTTGTGTTTTCATTGTTGTTGATGTAATGAGAATTTATTGAAGTTTGAAAGTTTGGATTTGGCTGTATGGAAAGTGTGTTGTGATGTTTTTGTTTTTCTTCAGTAATCGGTTGATTAGCAGCAAAAGTTTAGATGACGGGTTTGGAATGAAACAGCAGTAAAGGTGAAATCTCATTTTAATTTATAACGTGTCCAAGAAAGGTGATTTGACTGGCTTCAAAGGTGCATTTATCTATATTGATTTTGAGACCAGACTGAGATAGTCTTTGGAAAACTTAATGTCCTTATGTTATTCAGTGTTTTTGATAAGTATATCTATGAATGGTAATCTTCTTAGGACTTGACCAGTTAACCTTTTGAAAGACTGAGCAGCATTTTTAAGTTCGAAAGGCATCAGGATGAATTCATATTGTCCAGATGGTGTCATCATGGTCATTTTGGTGATATCTTCTTCTGCTACTGGAATCTGGAAATATGTCTTCGCTAAATCAATTTTTGAAAATACTCATGATCTGTGTAGTCCAAGTGAACATGATAACAGTCAGGAACAGTGGATGCATTTAACTTTCAAAAATCTATACAAGGTGAAAACCACTTTTAGGGACAAGGTGTAGAGGTGATACATAAGGACTGTCAAAAGCATCCCTTCAAGTAACATCTTATTGAATTCATTCTTATATGTATATAATTGATATAAAAACAAGAATACTGGATGTCTCATAATTTTTATATGGCGTTTGCTTTCATGTTTTATGTTTGTGATTTTAAAGGATTTTGTGATATCTTTGTATCGATTCAAGATGTCAATATATTCAGCACTATGACAGTTTGTTCTGCTGATTCTGGTGGACCATATTTGGTTCAAATTTCTCTGATTCAGATATTGATTTTGATATATGCTAATAGTATACGTTTCCTATTTACAGACAGATTATAATGCACTAAAATTTTGCAATCAGAATAGGTGTCTGCACATCAGCTTGTATGAATGACCAAGTCTAATCTTGACATATGCCAATGTTTAATATTAGATTTCTGTTACTGTAGGTATGTATTTGTGTTCTGTTTGCATGTTGTAACTTGAGAAGACTATGGTCAGGTTTAGATCCACATGGTGATGGAATAATGCCAACCACTGCTTTGATATCAACCAGGAACTTGTAACTGTTTTATTGACAACATAGAATAAGCAAATTTGTTTATGTGGGTCAGTCGAGGTAGTTGTAATTACTCACCAGTTTGCCCATTTCTCTGGTGTCTGTTGGTGCTAAAATAACATGATTAGATACATTTTTTTTTTTTGGTTTTCTTGGAATGTATGATGGTACCAGCAAATGTTGTTGGAGTGGGTATTTGCTTTCCCACAACTTAAACTAATTTGACATGGAGTTTGGTTGTCACTGTGTGAAAGATTTCTGGTCTTCTATTGTTGCTGGTCTGGCAACATTTGCATTTATTTTTGTCGTTCCATCATTGTTTTCTCCCAATGTTTATAATGGCAACTGATATCATTGTCGGATCTGGGTGTTAGTATATTGGGTCTTGGGTCGTATGACGTATCATGGGTATCAGTATCTGAATTACAGTAGTAGGTTGTCAAGCTATAGTCAGCACAGAATTGATTCTTACATGTCATTCCCTTCAAGATGGCTTTTCATGTGTCTGAGAATTTGGAAATGTGTTCTATCACTTAAGTTAGTTAAATTATGGCATTTGTTTGTCTGAATGACCTGTCCTTTTAATAATCACTGTTTTAAGTACATTATAGGCATCAATGACTTTATTGTCTATGTTGGGGGGGGGTAAGGATTATACAACACTGGTAAACTTAATTTTCTGTGACTGTATTCCCTTCACAGTGAATATGGACTGAAATTGTAAGAACCAGTATGAAAAAATTTATATTATTTTTTTTTCACATTTTTCGTTTGAAGACAATGTTGCAGGAAAACTATCAAGCACTCTACATAAACCTCATAACATGGGCCACATTTTGCATTAAGTGCAAAGAACATCAGCTCATCCAGTTAAAATTTTGTTCATGTGTAACTTTGCCTTGATTTTTGCAAAAAGTTGTACCCACCTTCTGTTTTATCAATTCTTCTGCCAAACCCAGATGACCTGCAGATTGAAAAGTTGATCTTGACGTACATTAATAAATTTTCAACATGTGTGTACAATTTCATCAAAATCTGTTGAGAATTGTGGACATGCATAAATAGCACACACACACATACACACAGACAACCATCTTCTGTTTTATAGATATATATTAGATATTACATAGCAGTTCAGAATATATCCCTCTCTCTTAATAGTTTAAGTTTCTGGATGACATCTTTTGCTATTTTTTGTACCTTCAAATTTCTGTCCTTGCTTCATTTGACATCCCTAATATGTTGACAGTTCTACATTCTGTCTTCTTACAGTTAATAATTAATCCTTTCATCTTGCATTCCTTTACTATGTTCTTTAAAATTTCTTAGAATTTTCTTTCTTAATCTGCAACAGTCTCATCCACATATCTTATGTTGTTATGGTCATATATGCTGTTCTCGTAGGTTTTCTAATTCTCATAGGATCATCTCACTTTATTATAATTAAATAAATCTGGTGCAAAAACACATCCTTGTCTTACTCTTCTTTCTATTTTTATGCACTCACTGAACTTTTTTTCTACCTGCATACAAACTGTTCTCAATAGACATGGATTATTTGAATGTTTTCGCAATGTAAATCAGGTTTTTCTAGTATTTCATGTAGCTGTTAACATTTCACCCTATAAAACACTTTTGGGTATGCTTTTCAGTATGTATATTGCTCACTCTGATAACATTCTGATCATAAAAATAATAGCATAAAGATTATAATGCCAAAAATTTATCCTCATTTAGGATATTTTTCCCAAGAAAAAATGTCTGGGAATACCTCATATGTAGAAATAAAGTACAATTTATGGCCAGATATCAAAATTAAATATTAATATTGTTGCATGTTAAATTTTAGCATCATTCAATGAGCAGTATGTTCTATATTTTAATATCAGATGGCTCCGTACAAACCCAAACAGCTTTTAGCAGCACTCATATAAAATTCATTACCATTGAATAATTACATCATCTTCATATTAAATGTAGTTGGAACTATTACTACTTCATTTTAATTAGGACTGAACTTATGACATTAAAAAAATATCAGTAACATTTATTTCCATAATAAAATCATTTTTATAGGACTATTTGTATTAAAAAAATAAATTGTCCCATTTTAATAATCTAAATATTAACAAGGATAGTAGTGAATAAATCACATGATTCATCCAGTGGTTATTGGACTAATTGCATTATTTATCCAGAATCTTGATTGTTTTTTTTTTTAATATCAAATTTCAATGAGATGTTGAACTCATCTAAAAACCATGAAAAAAAGTGTAAAAGAATGACTCCATTGTGATTTAAGAGAGTTGCTCTAACAAAACCAATGCACATTCACATGGACTCTGAACTATGACCTATAAAGGCAAGCACCAAGCTTACAAGACACAGCAACACCTTTTTGTAAGTACTACAAAAGTTATCTAGTTATATATATGCACACACTTATTCTTATGAACTGAAAAGACTTCCATAAGCAGAAAAGGGAACAACTGATATAAACACCTTGAAACTATTGTCATATTCATCCTTCAACAACTACACTGAGGATCTTCTTGTAATGTTAACTCAGTATTAATCTTTGGAATAAATTTACTTGTTAAACTTAAAATGATGTATCCAGTTTTTTTCATTCACTTGTTAGAAATTGTTTTTCTCAATCAGAAATGTCAACTTTTCTATTTCCCTCTTACTACCGTCTTTTTCTCTCTCTCTCTCTCTCTCTCTTACCCCCACTGCAAAGAACCATTTGCTATTATGATACCTCTCATTCCCTGTTAGTGGCATCTTAACATGCTATGACTTAAATACTTTCATTATATACTTATATTTATCTCACTACAAATCTAATATTTAAACTATTGAATCTGCTTCCGTCTTCAAATATGACCCTTGCTTTTCTTTCAGGTTTGTTGGCTTCTACTTTAATCTGTTGGATTCCTTGTTTGTTCCTGCCAGCAACAAGACTCATTGTTTATCTTATTGCTTTCAAGATAAACCAAATCAATTGTACACTCATTTTGGCTTATGCAAATAGGAACATTAAATAATAATTAGAGAACTGAACACTTGACTACTAAAGAAAAAAAAAGCTTTCCATTTGCAAACTGTTACTGATTCATTGTTTCTTATTCCACAGGCTGTTGACTAATAAGGATTTTGAAAAAAAAAAACACTTCAAGATGAACAGACATAGACATCAGCAAAGGTAAATTACTCTTTATTTCTTTTAGGGACTAAACTTACTACTGCTATATGTCAAATGGGATTGGAAAGATTCTTATGCCAATATTCGAAGTGGGAGTGGAATCATTTTAAGTTAAGTAATTCAGAAATATGTGGTTTTATATCTTCCTTCAAACTTTCAATATTCTTGCAAGGATCAAAGGGATTCCGCCTCTCCAAGTTTGATGTTTATTAGTGATGGAATGATAACAATATTTTTACCAATTCCAATACATATAATGATTAAAATTCATTATTTTCAGGTCCTACAGTTGGTTTAGGAAATTTAATGAAAAAATATATTTATTAATAAAACTTTTAGTAGAAAAATGAATACAAAAGCTTATTTAATAAAGTTAAATATCCTTTTTGTTTAAAAAAAATTGGGTTAGAGTTTAAACAATAAAGAGAACAATTTCTTTACATAAATCACTTAAGTATCTCACTACATTTGACATATTGCTTTACTTTGTTCATCATCAGAAACCTTAAAAAAAAAAAAAACTTCCAAACCACACATTTCTGGTTGGCATTGGGTACACTTGCCATAATTAGTCTGAAAATAATAAACATTGGTTAAAATTTAAATTTTTTACTGTTAGA